GATAAAGAAATTTTTTTTTACAAATCTTGATAAAAAAAATTGCAATTTTTTTTTTCACGAGTAGATCATGGTCAACTTGAAATGTACTTATTTGCATAAAAGAACGTTTGAAAATTATATAGAAGAACAAATGCCCTTAAAGTTCACTTTTTCTTGCTCTCACCTTGAATTAAAATTTTTTCACCTTTGTTTTAATTTTTAATTTAAACATTTATTAAGACAACTTAAATACAATATACTTAATTATAATACAATTAATTACACTATAATTATAATCATAAATGTTAAGTAAATAAATTAAACCCAATAATTATAGTATTAAATCAATAAAATTAGTTCCAATTCTAGTTTCATTCAATTATTTTTTACTTAACAATTTTTCATACGTTATTTTCAATATTTTTTTTTATAAAAATTGAATATTTTACTCTTTAGAAAAGAAAGTTTCTCCAATATAAAGGTTAATTTGTACTGACATGCGTGTCACTTGTATGAACACAATTTTTCAGTGTTTGTTCTTCATTATCTTTTAACTTGTGAGCAACGACATGTTCAAGGTACAAAACGACTGCCATAAATTTTGTAGTGTCCACTTTGCCAAGTGATATCCGTTTCACAATTTAGTTGCAATAAAAATGCAGATCTTGCGCTTGTACCAACTTAATTTATAAACAAAATGAGAGAAATATTCAAAATTCACTTTAAATTTTTGCAGCAGCAAACATAAAAGAATAAAAAAAAAATTACAAAAACTAATTAATTAGTTATATAAAAATAATCCTTATATAAAAAGAGTATAATTAAACATTAATGAATTTTATTCAATAAATTCAAAATAAAAAGTAATGAAAACAAAATTAATTTAATTATAATTTTGGAGAAGATATTCAGGGATCTTAAAAATGAAAAAATATTTTTAGTAACGTATAATTGTTGTTTTACTTTTTACTAATAAATGCGCTTTGATTTTCAGATATTTTTTTGTTTTGTCACTTAAAATTTAAAAATTCATATTTTCAAATAAATTGTAAAGAAATTTTTTGTTTCTTTACTTGGCAAAATAGGATTTTTTTCAAACAAAGAAAAGAAGAAAAATATTGTTTACCGTTGCAAATCAATCTGGCAATCTAGGCTTGGTAAAGTTTCTTATGTTTTGAAAGCCGCGACATTGCGGCTGAGCTTTACTTTCATACAAGCTTCGTGACCAAGGGCAACGTGCCAAGCTTTCAAATACCAAGGATGTTAGTGCACGTACAATAAATTTGTGGATGAGGTTGAACCTAGGTGAAGTTATAAGCTGAAACATACTCCCCTTGTTGTCCTCTTTTTAACCCCTTAGGATTATTTTTTTCATATTTTTTTCTCCCTTTACTTGAATCGTATTTTCCACAAGAAATAAATTTCTTTTTGATTTTTTTAAAAATTTTCAAAAATATAAATTTACAATTTTTCATGTCTTTGTTTCTTCTATATAAGGATATTTTTGAATTTTCTTTCTTCTACTTGAGTTGGATTTTTTTCAAATAAAATTCTTTTGATCTTTTTTTCAATTTTTCAAAAAAGCGAATTTACAAGTTTATTGTCATTTTTTCCCTTAGGGATTTTTTCGGATTTTCGCATCCACTTGAATTGTGTTTTCCTCAATAAATTCTTTTCATCTTTTTCCAAATTTTCAAAAATAGAAATTTGTAAATTTATTTCTTATTTTTCCCCTTTAGGAATAAGGGACATTTTTCCCTTGGGATTTTACTTAAATATTTCTATCGCTGCATTTGAAAAAAAAATTACAGTATAATTGTAACTTAATTATAATCTAATTATGATCTGATTATTATCTAATTATAATCTGATTATTATCTAATTATAATATGATTATTATCTAATTATAATTTAGTTATAATTTAAATATAATTTAATTATAATGTAATTATAATAATTATCAAAATTCCAGGAAATATTTCGAAGTGAATATTGCACGTTTATACAACATGTGTTTTCCATTAGTTTTGCGAATTTTTTCCTTCCCTCGATATTTGAACTTGTCGACACATCAAATAGGTATAATAATAATAATAACTGGTTGAAAATAATCTCAGTAGTAAATCTCTTGGTGGATTCGTTTCCTCAGCAGTGAAAACTCGCGTGCCAAGAAGACCTTGCGATGCCCTGCGGCTATTAAAGCATCATTTAAACTACTGCGTCTGTATATCAGCGTTAACACGAAGACCTTACCCCAATTTTCATATAGAAAATAGATTCCTATCAGACGTCTGCTGCCATGCTTGGTACCAACATCCGCAAATTAATGTGAATGAAAAATAATTGTCATTCTCGAACTGCTGTCCGCAATTATTATACTTAAACATTTCTAAAGACTCTATTATTCTAACTCTCAATATTCCTTCAAATGGCACGGAATCAATTATTTAAAAATGTATTGATAAAATTCTTTATGAGAATTCAATTTTAAGAAATATTTAATTATTCAATAAATTATTTATTTTTGCATTTAAATATAATTGAATTCTCGTAGAATTTTGTAATAAAAATTGATTTAAAAATTAATTTCAGTTAAAATTTTAGATTTGAATATTTATTATTCAAATTATTAAAATATTTAAATAATATTTTTTGAATATTAAAAGCATTATAGCTTGAATTTTAAGAAATAATTGAATTTTGAAAAGGTTTCAAATTAAATTATTTAAAAATTCTAATTTTTCATACTTATAGCCAACAATTCTGTAGAATTAATTATTTTGAAAATGTTTAATTCAATTTTCTTCTGAAATTATTTGAAGTTTTTATTTTTTAATACATATTCAATTGAAGAATTTCTGAATAATTGAAATTTCGTAAAATTGAATTGTAAACGAATGGATTTGAAAATTCCCAAAGAACTTTCTCAAAAATTATTAAAGATAATTGATTTAAAGAAGAATTTTATTTAAAAATTCTAGAAAATAATAATTGAATTAAAATGATGAAAATAATTTTGAAAAAATTACTGTAAAAATATTCTTATTATATAAAATAATGATCTTATCACTCGGTTATCTTTAATTTATTATAAAAAATGAAGAAACTGATCACTTCGAGTCGAAAACTCGGAGCAATCGCTATCTTCATGTTTTATAATAAATATTTTATAATAAAATAAATATTTTATAATAAATTTAAGTTGTTAAATTTCAAAAAGGTTTGCATTTGAAATTTTTGAAAATCTTGATTCCTGTAGAAAAATAATAATGATTAAATGTTTATTTAGAAAAGAAGTTATTGATGTTTTCGAATAATTTTACAATCGTTTTTAACAAATAGAAATTTTGTAAATATTTTTTCCAAAATAAATTTAAAATTTCTTAAACAAAATTTGATTTACAAGATTTTTATTTACTTAAAACTTGTACTTTGTTTATGAATTGTAATTGAGAAGCAGAAAATGTGCAAAATATTTTCTACTTTCTAATTTTAATTTTCCAACAATTAAAAAATTTTTTTTTTAGAAAAAAGGAAAAAATAGCTGCATAATTTCAATTTGTCAAACAATTAAGTTTTTCATATTAACAAAAGGATAATAATTTGCAGGATTTATATTTGTTAATTACCTAAAACGTTTGTTACAAATGCTAATTTTTTTAGAAACAAAGAAATAATGAATATTAACATTAATAGTTTTTTTAGATTAATAATAATATTATTGAATTATTTGAAAAATAAAGATAATATTATTAAATTAAAAAATACTTTATAATAATCGTAAGATTCCTTTCCGTTAGCAAATTCTCTGCATTCATTTGTTTCTTTTGAAAATTAATTTTTGTGGGTTATTGTAATTTTTTTAATGTCAAAAAAACCAAAAAAAACTCGTTTTATTCACTTCACAAAATTGACAAAAATTCCATTCCATATTTTTTATTTTCCTGACTTTTTTCTAATTTTCATCAAAAATATTGACTTTTTTCTTATCCTGATAATAAATTGAATTCCTGCTACGAATTTTATTATTCATGAAAGAATATAAAATATATATAAAAAATAATTTAGTTCTTGCGAAGAATTTTATAAAAATTTTTAAATAATTCATTTCTTTCGAATAATTTTATGCAAATTCTAATTTAAATAATTGAATTGATGAAAATTTTTATTATTCATGAAAAGAATTGAATTCTTGCGAAAATTTGTACAAACCATTTTTTAAATAATTGAATTCGGTTTAGAAATTTTATGAAAATAGATATTGAAAATCATTGAATTACGAAAACTTTTTAAAGATAATTAAATTTTACAAAGAATTCTATTAAAAAATTTGGCAATAATTGAATGTCTGTGGGAAATTTTATTAAATTTTTTTTAAAATAATTGAATTCTAGAGGAGTGCGAAAATTCGAATTTTACATGGGTTCGAAATTCGAACCGAATCGAACCCATGTTAATTCTTATGGAGAGAATCGAATTGTTAAAATTTGCACAGCTCTATTGAATTCCTAAAAAACATTTTATTATTTATGAAAATAATTGAATTCTTGCGAACGATTTATTAGAATTTTTTAAAATAACGGAATTTCCAAGAAGAAATTTATTACTTTTAAAAATAATTTAATCTAGGCGGGCAACTACACAATTAAAATTGCGTGAAATTCAAATTTACCGAAATTTGATTTTTATACAACAAAAATACTTCTTTTTTTTATTAAAAATAAAACAAAAATATTCCACAAAAATATAAAATATCTATTCCAAACTTAGATTCAAATTTTACAAAACTAGAAAATATTGAAATATTTTCAAACATTTACAAAATTTAAAAAAAAAATCCATCTTTTACATGATCAAGAAATGTCAGTTGTAATATTTTCTACTGTCCTGTAATATTTTCTCATTCCACGCCCTCCCCTTAAAAAAAAGAAAGACAGTCAGAGAGCAGGAGAAAAAAAATACTATTTACATATTATAAATGAAATGATGTATGAATTTTAGCATTTAAATCGATTTTTCAGAGGGGTCAACTTGAGACGAATGAACTGTACATGTCTCGGATTTTCGATCAAAGGGAAATGCAGCTCAGCTTGAGATTGTTGTCGACAGGTACTGAATACAAATTTACCCCTTTTACCCCTCTTCCTTTTCGAATCCTTTTTACCCCACCATTCCTCTCGAGAGACGAGCAAATAATAAAATCCCACCGACGACTATGTTGATCCCAATGAGCTATTGTGCCATACTTTGCTTTTGATGTTCACATTGATATCTCGCACATGAAAAAACCTCTTTTAAAATTTCACGTTTGATTTTCAATTCTAAATCGACCAAAAAAAAAAAAAAAAAAAAAGAATTTATTTATACTCAAAAATCGTTTGGACAAATATATCCGGTTTCTCGCTTTTTCCAAATTCCTTTTAACAAGTCAACGCGAGAAATCTACTTTCAAATGAATTCTTTAAATTCTTGTTAGTTAAACATAATATAAATTTAGAAAAAATACAGTTTTCTTTTAGTAAAGAAAATTTGCTACTGATTAATTTTTTTTTTATTTCCATTGCTGTTTAAGTTTATTAATCAAATTAATAAATAAAAGTATAAAAATAAAGTATCTCCACAAAAAGGAAAACGTTTATGAAAACAAAAGTCCAAATATTTGGCGATTCGCCATGTAAATTTATTATTTATTTAAATTCTACACGGAACTAAAAATGAAAAGAATAAATAAAATGGAAAAATGCTATTGAAAATTATTGAAAGGAGATAATAATATTTTGAAAAATATTGAAAACGTAAGCCTCATTATCGATGGTAGCATGTCTGCCAAAAGTTTTATGGACCATTAAAGTCATTATAGATACGACGGATGTTAATCTGCCTTCTACGTTCGCCAAATTGCTTTGGGAGATTTCTTTCTCCATATACTCTCTTTTTATCCTTAGCTCTTCAAAAACTCTCCTTCTCCATTTTGTAGTTCCTATCAAGCGTTACTGAGAGCGACAAAACTTTTCTAACAACTGTGCATCCTTCATGTGCGGCTTTTACGCTCAACCTAGAACGTCGAGTATTCACTTTCGTCAAATAATCTCAAAAAGCTTATTGTCAGATCTTATTTACAGATCTTAAATTGCATTATGCGCCTAAAATAAAGCAGGAAAAGAAATAAAGTAATAAATGAAAAATTAAAAGAATTATGGTAATAATTTTCTATTTATTGCATTTTCTATTTATTATATTACTATTTTTTTCGAAAGCTAACTGAAGTTGAAAATAAAATTATCTCTTATGTCGTGAAGCCAAACAGTGATTATTATATATTGAATATTGTCGATAACAACAAAATGATTTAATTTTTACTTTACGAAATTTACTTTATGAACCAATTTTTTTTAAAAATAAACAAATAAGATATTGATGGAATGCATCCTTTTTGTAATAGATAACAATCATACATAAATAGAAAATAATTAATATATATATATAAATATATGTCTTAAATAAATAAAACAATAACAATAAAAATAATAAAAACAAAACATAAATAACAATTCTTTACAAAATTATAATTTCCTTTTAAAGTTTCAGCTGGACTGAATTTATTTCAGTTTCAAATTTCAAAAATTTTTAATTAAATTATTGCATTTATACCAATTTTTTTTTGCTAACGTCGCACAAAATAATTTTATGATCATGAATCAAACTTAAATGAAGATCGAATTGCTTCTAAGAAAATTGTAATTGTATGTTTTTTGGACAGAATAACAATTAAATAATTTTGTTAGTAAGAAACAATTTTTTCCCTTTTTTACACAATTTACAAAGACAAATTTTGTTTGGGACAATTAAAAATATTGGTTGCTTCAAATAAGATTTCATTGGGACTACCAAAATTATTGTTTGGATTTAGTAAAATTTTATTGAGACAACCAAAATTTAAATGGTACTACAAAGAATATTGATTGGATTAAGAAAAATTGAAATGTGACAAATAAATTTTTTTGGAACAACCATATAAGTTGATTAAATCAAATTAAATTGAACAAACACAACATTTTATACGAGGCAAGTAAACTTTAGTTGCGTTGACCAAAGGAAATTATTTGGATAGTGTAAAATTTAATGATAACAAGCAAATTTTACAGGATCAATCAAATTTTAATGGGACGAACAAATTTCGTTTGGGCCAATCAAAAGTTCTAGTTGTCTCAAGTAAGATTTCATTGGTCAACCAAAATTATTGTTTGTATTGAGTAAAAAATTTATGAAAACCAAATTTTATTTATAACTACTAAACATATTAGTAAGATTAATCAAAATTAAAATGGGACTACCAAATTTTTTGGGAAAACCAAATTTTTTTATATGACAACCATTTTAATTTATAAAATCAAATAAAATTGAACTGGGATTGTGTAAAATTTGATGACAGGAACAATCGAATTTGAATGGGACAACCAAAATTATTAATTGGTTTAAATAAAATTTGATTGATACAACCAAACTTGATTTGGAACTACGAAAAATATTCGTTGAATTAAGAAAAATTTATATGGGACAAAGGAATTTTGTTGGGACAACCAAAATTATTAATTGATTTAAGTAAAATTTTATAAAGACAACCAAACTTGACTTAGAACTATGAAAAATATTCCTTGAATTAAGAAAAATTTATATGGGACAAAAGAATATTGTTGGGACAACCAAAATTATTAATTGGTTTAAATAAAATTTGATTGACACAACCAAACTTGATTTAGAACTACGAAAAATATTCGTTGAATTAAGAAAAATGTATATGGGACAAAAGAATTTTGTTGGGACAACCATGTAAATTGACTAAATCAAATAAAATTGAACAAATACAAAATCTTGTTCAATACAAGCAAACGTTGGTTACATTAACCAAAGAAAATTAATTAGTCAGTCTAAAATTTGATGATAACAACCAATTTTGATAGGAACAATTGAAAAATTGATTCGTTCTGGTAAAATTACCTGGGACAGCAAAAATTTAGTTTTTAAAAAAAATTCAATATTTGAATAACTATTTTTACTCAATTAAATTTTTGCCTACCAAAGCTGTTGCGTCATAAATTTTCATAAATATAAATCTTTTTTTTTTGCAATTATAATTTTTTTCACATAATTTTTTTTTATATTATCAAGTCAAATATTTAAATTTAAGTATTGATAAACTCTGGTAAAAGATAAAGTGCCGCCACCTCGATGCACTGTTTCCAAGTTTCTTATGCTGTCCCACTTTCTCCGATAATCAAACATAGTTCTGAAATTTCTTCACTTGCACAACGGTAGATAATGTTAACGTTTACTATTTTAATTCGAATTTTAATATTCCTAATGTAAAAGAAAAATACTAAAAAATAGGTAAATAAAAAAATCGTCAGTCTAAACTGAAGTAGAAATTCATCAAAATTGTTAAAAATTAAAATTTTCTTTTTATTTCACATTGTATAATAAATTTGGTTCATGGATAGTGAGTATAATTCATTTCTGTTTTCTGCCTTATCGACGAACATTAGAATTTGAATTTTTATTGATTATAAATAATTTTTTCTTTACACATAATATACATATAATTATAGAGAACTCCTATAAAGATAAATTTCGCATTTTTAGTTGTGAGTCTTGATTTTATATCGAACAGATAGTGATTGAAGTTTGTTCGAGACTGTGAGTAACCGGTTTTGGAAATTATAAAATTTATTTTCTAAAAAGCAAAGTAGACAAAATTTTGACGAAAAATAAAATAAACTTCTTTTAGATTTAAAAAAAAATGTCTATTTTAGAATACTTTTTATTTTATAAAATGCTTTTGATTATTATTATAACTATTCTACATTTTTAGTTTGATTTATTGAACAAAATAAAGTTTGCTCCATTCTCGCAAAGAAAAAGTATAAATTTTTTCTGAGTATATTTTTGAATTTGTCATTCAATGTAAAATAGTAATAAATAAGAAAATTATTTCTTATTGTTTTTTACATAGAATTTTATTTATTTATTATTATTTACTATTTTTTATTATGTTTATTAATAAATTAATAGTTTATTATTTTTTTTTTATTATATATTAAGCACACTTTTTAAGGATATGAAATTATGCCAAAAAATCTAGGTATCAAAACTTTCCTTGCAACAATTTTGATGTTTTTTTTTTGTCTTAATTATTGTATTTTTAATTATTTACTATTATTTATAATTTATTCAATATTTTTTATTTCGTCTTTTACATAAGCACGTAAAATATTCACTACAAGTTTTCTCGTAAAATACTTGATTAATTAAGCTGAAATTTATAGAGAACAAGAACAAGTTTAAAATATTATTATAATAATGATCTGTGAAATACCAGAAATTTAATATTTAAGCAAGAAAGACTTGTTTTCTCTAAAAAATCGCACATAAAAGAAGCGAGAAAAAAAAATTAACTAAAATTTTATATTCATTATATTGTCTAGAAATAATTTCCTTAAATATGCAATTTTTTATTTTTAAATTCAAATTCGTTGATGGAATGTTTTTTATGGAATTTTTTGCTTATTTTTTTTAATGAAATACAAAAATTATTATTATTCCTTCTTCCTCCCAAAAATAAAATTATTGTTACTATTATTCATTCCTCGAAAAAAATTATTATTATTATTATTATTATTATTATTATTATTATTATTATTATTATTATTATTATTATTATTATTATTATTATTATTATTATTATTATTATTATTATTATTATTATTATTATTATTATTATTATTATTATTATTATTATTATTATTATTATTATAATAATATAGATAAATGTTTCTCTTTCAAAATAAATATTTGTTCTGATTGTTTTAGAAGAAAATGAAGAATTTGATCGAATACGTTGTGTGCTCAAAAGTATTTTGGATCTCAACATTTATCATTGTGGTTTATGTTTATTTAAAATTTATAGTTTTCAATTATTTTTCAAGAAAAAAAATACCGCATGAAAAACCAATGCTTCTTATTGGAAATGCTCTGGAATTTATTACAGGTCAAAAGTCATTAGGTAAATTGTTGAACAATAAATTATAATTATTATAAACAATCAATTAATAATTAAACAAAAAATGTAATTATATAAAAAATGTAGTTAAATAAAAATGTATTTAAAAAAAGTGTAATTACAAATATACAAGCAATAATTAAATATAAAAAAAATAATTAAACAAAAAATCTGTAATCCAATAAATAATCTATAATTTAATAAAAAATCAATCAATAATTAATTTACTAAACAAGTAGTGCTATAATGTAATAAATTTTACATAAAATTATTTTTTTGCAGTACAATCTTTATTAATTATAATTGTAAATTTCTTTACACAAAATAAGAATTAATAACAATTTATTATTTAAATTTCATCTGGGAAAAATTTTATAAAAATCTTAATTTCTATTTTTAATAAAATAGTTCATAAATGAATAAAAAAAAAAAAAAAAAAAAAAAAATAAAATTGTTTATATTGTGGCCTTGGGTCCAAACATAAACAATTATAAACAATTATTATTATAAACAATTTTATTTGACAAAAATTAAGGTCCTGAAAACACTCTACGTTATAAATGAATAAATAAATAAATCAATAAATAGACGAATAAGTAAATAAATAAATGAATAAACAAATAAATAAAATAATTAATTTACTATTTCATTTTAAGGTGTAACACTTGAGAAAAGTTACGAGAAATTCAAAAAATATCCAATACACGGATTTTACATATTCTTCGAACCAATTGTCGTTATTAATGATTTAAAATTAATTGGTTCAGTGTTGATTAAAGATTTCCACCATTTTCTCGATCGCTTCTCTGACGATTTAGATTTTGATCCAATGCTTGAACATTTATTTTGCGAACGTGGTAAAAAATGGAGGAATAATAGAATAAAACTGTCACCAGCATTTACTGCGAGAAAATTAAAAGAAATGTTTCATCTTCTTGATGAAATTGGTGAAAATCTCAAGAAACATTGTCAATCACTGTCAAATAACAGTGAAATTATTGAATTAAAAGATTTGGCATCACGGTATATTTTTCTCTAATTTTAAATAATTCGTGATAGTAACAAAAAATCTCTACGAATTCATTCTATAACTTAAATTATTAAGAATTACCTAAATTGAGAAATACCTAAATCAATAATACAATAAATTAAAAATTTACGAAGATAATGCATTAAATAGTATTTAAAATTAAATTTTGTTTCATTAAAATTTTAGATTTACGACTGATACGATTGCAACTCTAGCGTACGGTTGTATGAGTAATAGTATTGAAAATCCAAATGCAGAATTTCGTCTCTATGGTAAGGAGATATTCGATGGTCATCCAATTAAAGTTCTACTCGTCTTTTTCGCTCCAATTATTCTTAAATTATTGCAAATGAGATTTATCAAGAAGAAAGTCGGTGATTATTTTACGAGAATTTTCAAGGAAGTTGTCATTTATCGAAGAGAAAATAATGTGACGAGAAAGGATTTTGTTAACTTACTCATGGAATTAATGGATAATGGTTTTATTGAGGACAATGAGGAGGGGAAAAAATCTTCGGATACACTTGTAACAGGTTTTTTGAATTACTTTTATTTATTAATATATTATTATGAACTATTTCCTATAACAATTAGTTTTTTATAATTTAATTTTCGTCAGGATTTTAATTTTCAATGAAATTAATTATTACTAAGAATTTTTTTCGTTTTCGTGTTACTTTAAATTTTACTATAAGAAAATATTTATGAGTTGAGATCGATTACGTAATTTTATTTCTACTTTCACTTTCACTTTGATAAATATTCATTTTCACATTCACTTTCACTTTCAAAAATTTTATTCACACCACCAATTTCACTCTCATTTGCACTTTGATTTTCTCTTTGATTTTGATAGATTTTTATTCTCACTTTCACTTTTACTTTAATAGAAAGTGAAAATAAAAATCTGTCAAAGTGGAAATGAAAGTGAAAATAAAAATATAACATTATGAAAATGAGAGTGAAAATAAAATTCTATTAAAGTGAAAGTGAAAATATAATTGAAAATAATACTGATAAGTAAAAGTGGCTACAAAAAAGGGGAAAAATAAAATTTCATCAATGTAACAATTAAAGTAAAAATAAAATTATATGAAAGTGAAAATTTAGTGCAGTGGTTTTTCTTAATTTTGCTATTTACCTAAAAAGTTTTAGCTTTTTCCCAAATATGCAATCTACCTTACTTTTTGTAAATATCGATTTAGATTCAAAATAAAACTATTGCTTAAACAATTTTTAAGCAAATTATTATTGTTAATTGATAACTTTTCACAATATTGTTCAAATAATAATTTTATTTTTTATCTGAATCGGTATTTACATAAAGTTTGGTAAAAAATTGTAAAATTAGAAAAACATTCCATCCTTTATTAAAAAATATTATTTGTTGTTGAAAAACATTTTTTAGTGAAAAATTTTTATAATTCTAATTTTTTTTTCGTAATATAAAAAATAGTTTTATTTTTTATATTGTGAAAAAAAATATTTAATTTGCACGAGCAATTGTCGGTAGTCGTAAGTATTGATAAAAGTTATAAATAAACAAAAAGAAATAACATTTTTTTTATTTTTCAAAAGTAAGGCAAATTTTTATTGATGCAAAAGTTGAGTAGGTATTAAAAAATTTGTTCCACATCCCTTATTAGTGACGGTAATAATAATTTTAATTACTTATAGTGGCAAATGTTCGTAAAATGACATTAAATGAGGCGTCTGGACAAAGTTTCGTATTTTTTGCCGCTGGTTTTGAAACTTCATCCTCAACAATAACGTATTGTTTATACGAATTGGCACTCAATATCGAAATTCAAGAAAAACTGAGATCAGAAATAAAGAATGTACTTTCTAATCAATTATTGACATACGACAGTATTGGGGAAATGGTCTATTTGGACAAAGTTCTATCCGGTAAGATTGAGAAAATAACAGTCAAATTTCAAAATTAAAAATTAGAAAAATATTTTATTCTACCAAAAACACTTTTTTATAATTCTATCATTTTATCAATTAATAGTTATAATATTTTAATGTACAAAAAAATGTTGAAGAAAAAAATTTATTAATATGTTAATACAAAATTTATTAATCTGTTAATTAAAAATTTATTACTAATTAAAAATATGTAAATTTTTGCAGTTCAATTAAAATTTTAAACATTTTTTTAAATTCACTATCAACTGTTAGAGAAAGTTAAGATAAAACATAATTTTTCATTTTATTTTTATTTTTGTTCTTATTTACAAAAATAATTTTTTTAGAGACCCTGAGAATGTACCCGGCAGTTCCATTACTATCACGAAGTTGCGTTCGAAATTACAAAGTACCAGGAACAAATTTTTCCATTCAAAAGGGAATGAAAATAATTATTCCCATCTTGGGTATACATTTCAATTCGGATATTTATCCAGAACCGAAAAAATTCGATCCAGAACGATTTAATTCAAAAAATATTACAAAAAGAAATCCACTTTCTTATATGCCATTTGGTGAAGGTCCCAGAATGTGCATTGGTATATTATTTATTTTACATTATTCTTTATAAAATTTATTTTATATTTTAAAAGATTAACAGTTTAAATTTTTAGTTTAAAAATTTAAATTTTTAAATTTAAATTTAAATTTTAATTTAGTTTAAATTTTTTTTAATATTATTAAAAAGTTATTAAATAATTATACTGTTAGTAAATGTCAGTAAAGTGTAAATTTAAAAATAAATAAATTTTTCATTACAGGCAAAAGATTGGGATTAATACAAACAAAAATTGTGCTGATTAAAATGCTAATGAATTATAAATTTTCAGTATGTGAAAAAACTGAAATTCCAACGAAACACAGTACACGAACATTTGTACTTACACCCGAGAAAGGTGTTTATTTAAGAATTGAAAACGCATAAAGGACAAATGGTAGCATTTTGTCATTAAATATTTTCTGAATCGCATCAAAAAGGAGTATCAAAATTGTTAAACCAGTAATTTTTACTAAAATCTTACTAAGTTTATTTAGAAGTTATAAATTTTATCTCTTAGAAAGTACTTTTAATTAGTAAAAATTTACAATTTACAAGTTTTAAATTTTTTACCCAAGTTTTAGTAAACAAATGATTTTGGTGAAAAATTAGAAGAATTTTTTATTTTTTATTTTTTATTTTCAATTTTTTTTAACAAGTTTTAGTAAAGAATTATTAAGAATTAATAGTATTTTTTTTAATAATTAAAACTATTTTACTCCAGTTTTAGTCAAGAATTATGAGGAATTATTAAATTTTTTTTCCTATTTTACTAATTTTAAAATTCTCTCCAAAATTTTAGTGAAAAATTATTATAAATTAGTATAACAATGTTGCCACAGATCAGGGAAAGTAGAATTCGTCAGAGAAATCTGGGAAAAGTCAGGGATTTTTATTAAAAGTACTGGAAAAAATTAAACTTTTAGAATTCATAAGAAAATTTTCAACTTTGGTGTCTTTTTTGTTTTCCTCATAAACTATGAAATTACTACGAATTCTAATAAAAAACCTTCAATTTTTTCTATTTCTGATAATAATTTATTTTTAAATAACTTAATTCTTGAAGCACTATCATAAAATTAATATTCATAAATTATTTAATGAATAATTTTACTTAAATATTTCAAAACATTGATTGCATTTTAAAAGAGTTGAGTTTACAATTTTCATAAATAGATGAACTTCAAAATGTCTCAATTTTAAATTATATAAAATTTCTATTTTGAATGAATTAAATTGGAAATTTTAATGAATTTAGATTTTTGAAAAATTTTAATAATTCAAATTCTACTGAAATTAGTTAAATTTTTTAGTATATATTTAATGAAATATTACAAATTATTCAATTATTTTCAAAATTTCTTATACATTTCTTCGCAATAATTCAATTATTTTCATAAATAATAAAATTTTTTACATGGATTCAATTATTTTCATAAACAATAAAATTCTTCTTGGAAAATAATTTATTTTGATAAATACTGACACTCATCGCAGAATTTTAATTATTTTTATTACAATTTTAATCAAATTTCTCGAAAAATGCAATGATTCTTAAAATTTTTTATTAAAATTCGTCGAAAGAATTCAATTTTAAGAAACATTAAATTATTCAATAGATTATTTATTTTTGTTTATTAATAATTAAATTAATAGAATTTTCTAAAAAAAATTAATTAAAAAATGAATTTCAGTTATAATTTTAAATAATAATTGAATATTAAAAGCATTATAGCTTTAATTTTGAGAAATAATTAAATTTTGAAAAATTTTCTATTTAAAATCTTTGAAAATTTAAATTTTTCACGATTTTAACTAACAATTCTGTAAAATTAATTTTTTTGAAAAAGTTTAATTGAATTTTTTTTTGAAATTATTTGCAGTTTTTATTTTCTAATATAATATTCAATTAAAGAATTTTTGAATAATTGAAATTTCGTAAAATTGAATTGTAAGTAAATAAATTTGAAAATTCTCAAAGAACTTTTTCAAAAATTATTAAAAATAATTGATTTAAAGCAGAATTTTAGTTAAAAATTCTAGAAAATAATAATTGAATTTAAATGATGAAAATAATTTAGAAGAACTCACAGTAACAATATTCTTATAATATATTATTACTAGTAAAATATTTGTTTTTCTTAAACTTCAGAGCTTTAATAATTCTATTAAGAATTATTTAAATTTCTCAAAAATTTTAAATTAGTAATTATAAAATTTCTGTCTCAAGTTTTAGTATAAATTTACTAAGATATTGTTGGAATTTTTCACTAATTTAAATTTATAGACAACTTTTCACTTATCAGATTTAGAGCAGTAATTTTGTAATTTTTAGCAAAAATGTGAAATTCATTTTTAGTAAAAAATACAAAGATTTATTTTTAGCAAAAATGCAGATTCCTTTTTAACCAAAATACAAAGATTCATTTTTAGCAAAAATGAAAGATTTATTTTTAGTAAAAATTTAAGATTCATTTTTAGTAAAAATATAAGATTTATTTTCAGCAAAAATTTATATTTCATTTTTAGCAAAACTATAAATAAAAAATAGAAAAATTTTATTTTTGCTCCAGTATAAAAAAAGAAATATCATATAAACAAAAATAAAATTTCTTTAATGCAGTATGACCTTAATAATGCACCCACTTTTCTCTCCATTTATTACCAAAAATAAACAAAAATTGTTCAATGATGCGGAAAAACTGATACGAATCTGTTTACAATGTCACAGTCGACATTTTGCTTGAATATGTATTTAGTCTGCAAGAGCACATTAAAGTTACATCGTTTCATTTCTTATCTCTTATAATTTTTTTAACATTCAGAAATTTTATATTCTCAATCGTTTACCTTTTAACCTGTAACCTTCACTTACTTTCTATCTCTTTTGTTATACACATACGTTTTTGGTGTCCTTAACAGAATGCAGGCATTATTGATTCTATAAAAAGTGAGAAAAACTAAACTTCATTTTCGTCAGCAATTTTTTCGACCTTATAAATATTATGTTAAGTTTTGTATAATAATAAATATAATATATTATTATTTTCATTATCATTAGTTAATAAATAATAGTAATAGAAAATTTTTCTATTGAATTTTCTCTTTTAAGAAGTGATTCATTTCTACTACTTATAATTTAGTTTATTACTGTATTTAATGCATGACTTCTCAGAATTGTTTATATTATTTACAAAAACGATAAGGTCCGAGTAGCTAAGACGTTAGTTACTCGTTTGCTCTCGTTTAATGAAGACATGCATAAAGTAATTCTGGTTTTTGAACAAATTTTTAAGTTTATTAGTTATCTTTATTTAAAAAACAAGGGACAATTTCCTTTTTAATTATTATTCTTTTTCTCTAAAAATAGAATAGTAGAAATTATTCTCTATTCTATATTATATTTAAATACTTAATAGTATTGTGACGTCAGACGATTTAATTTATAAATTTTAAATTCATTCATTTATTAGTATAATAAATTATAAATAAATAATTTGCCAAATAAATTTTTTCAAACTTTAAATTTTATTTTCTTTGAAATTTTTAAAATTATCAACAATTTTTGGTGTCGTTAAAACAATTTAATTTTTAAATCTTACATTCCTTTAATTTTTTCATCTCATAATAATTATAAATAAATAAATTATAAATTTTTGGCAAACTACAAAATTTATTTTTTATTTTACCAAAACTGTCATCGATTTTTCTGCGGATTAACAAACATTAAAATGAAGTAGTAAAATTTTTATTATTAATTATCTATCGATTATACGATTGCTCAAAAAAAAATTCTGCTTTTGTCACTGTGAATGATTTATTAAATGATTTATTAAAAATTCTGATTACAAAATAAAAATTGTGTGTAGTTTTTGTAACGAATTTACGTCACCCGTAACATCCAACCGGTTTTCTGTCAAGGACCATTTTATAGGACTCAAACTTGAAACCAACAAATTCAGACTTCAGTTAATTTTCATATTCCTGGTGAAGTGGAAGAGATTGTGTGTTGAGTGATTGTATTTTTTTTCCATTGACAGTTGTAATAAAATTTGTTGAAGGAAAAATTGTGATAAAGTGGAAATTAATATATAGATTCTATTATTATAATAGACAATAGTAATTAGTTTATGTCTGCTGTAATAATATAAAAAAAGGTATGTACTTTAATTAGATAATTTGTAAATTTTTCAAAAAAAAATTGAAACACAATTCGCAATATTTAATTTGAATAAAAATTTTTTCTTGCAGTTTACAAAGTATAGAGAACATTGACCTGCGTTTGCAATTCTAGTTTCTGATGTAGAGTCTATTTATAAATGTATTCGAGAACAATTTTCTATGCATTTTGTTAAAGAATTAATAGCTTTTTTCTGATTTGAATTAATTTTTTTTAATAGAATCAGTAGTTGTTTAGAATCAATAAAAATTTATTTTTTTATTTATTTATATAAATAAAAACTATTATGAATAAATAAAAATTTATTTAAATAAATAAAAGCTTTTTTCTATAAATAAAAAATTATTATTTAAATAAATAGAAACTCATATGGATGAATAAAAGTATTGTTTTATAAATAGGAAATTATTAGATAAGTAAAAACTCATTTGAATGAATAAAAACTTCTTCTAATGAATATGAATACTAGTTTAATTAAAAATAAAATTTATTTAAATAAATAAAAGCTTCTTTATAAATTAGAAAATTATTTAAATAAATAGAAACTAATTTTTCAATGTTTATTTAAATAAATAAAACCTTCTTTCTATAAATAGAAAATTGTTTAAATAAAGAGAAAGTTATGTAAATAAATAAAATCTTTGCATAAATAAAAAAATATTATTTATATTAATACAAACTGATTTAAATAAATAAAAACTCCTTTAAATAAATGGAAACTTATTTATAGGATAATTAGAAACTAATTTATTTAAATAGAAATAAATTTATTTCAATCAAAAATTAATTAAATAAGTAGAAACTAATTTAATTAAAATCAAAATTTAAATTTATTTCAATAAATAATAATTTTTTCTGTAAAAAGAAAAATATTTAAATAAATAGAAACCTATTTATATAAATAAGGGACCGACATTGACACGATGTGAATGTTTTGTGAAAGTCCCTGAAATAAATATAAACTAATTTTATAAATTTAAAGGTCAGAAAATTACAGAAACTAATTTCATTGAATTGAAATTTTTTTAAATTAATAAATATGATCTTTTATCCTACAGAAATAAAAATGTCCATTTCGTACGCTTATTGGATATTCCAGTGGTTTGCTGTTTTGATTGTTTCGTTTTATTTATACTTAAAGTTTGTGACATTTACCTACTGGAAAAGAAAAAATGTTCCCCACGAGAAGCCAATCGTACCCTTCGGAAATACTTGGCAATATATTACCAATCAAGTGTCAATGGGTAACAAATTAACAATATTACAATAATTAAAATTACATAATTATATTAACTAATATTTATTTATTTACATGCCTACATTTAATAATTCAACATGTTAACACTAATAATATAATTATATATACACTAAAAAATGTACTTCCCATGAAATTTCGAATCGATCAAAAATTCACAGCCACTGAGAATCGAACTCCGACTCTCGTTGCTGTGAGATCGGCAAGGATGCCGCTTGGCCATCCCACATAATTATTAATCATATCAATTTTTTGATTTTCCTGTTGAAAATATAATGAATAAAAGAAATAGAAATACGTATTCTATTTATTTTATTACTTATTGATATTTATTAATGAAAATAATGAAAATAATTAATAAACAAATTATTATCAATCAATTAATATTAACTAATAATGTATAAAAATAAATAAATAATAGTAAAAAGTAAATAAAATAATAAATTAATTTTATTCTACAGGCGAATTAATGCAGCATAGCTACGATAAATTCAAAAAATTCCCCTATCATGGAGTCTACTCTTTTCATGAGCCCAATTTAATAGTCTCAAATCTTGATCTCATTAATTTAATAACAATAAAAGATTTTCAATATTTTCAAAATCGTATGCCAGACGATCATATTGAATTTGAGCCGTTATTGAGAAATTTATTCTTTGAGAGAAATAAAAAATGGCGTAGCAATAGAAATAAAATTTCGCCCGCATTCACATCAAGAAGGATAAAAGAAATGTTTCATCATATTAAAAATGTTGGGAAAAACTTGAGAAATTGTTGTACATCACCTGCCAAATATAACGAGGTACTTGATTTCAAGGATTTAGCAGCGAGGTAATAATTTTCTTTCAATTATTTGTTATATTATATTAAATTATTATTATCATTGTTTGCGTTGTCAATTGGCTTAGTGGGTGTATTATTTACTTCGTAATTTTGTATCTCGGGTTCGAATCCCCCATCAAATTATTATTTTCTTTACATTTAATTGTTTTTTAAATATTTTATTTTTGACTATTTTATTTTATTATATTTTATTATTTACTGTTTTATTTTTATATTATACTATTTTTTTAATTTTTTAATTTTTAATGTTTTAATTTTAACTCTTTTAATTTTTCCTGCTTTTTTACTTTTTTATTTTTAATTTTTATATAATTTTATTATTTTCGTTTTTAATTTTTTATACTAATTTGTTCTTCACTATTTTATTATTTATAAAACCGGTTTTATGACATTTTTAGTTCTGAACTAAAATAGTCATAAATAAAACAGTAAAAGTAATGTTGTAAATCATTCTTTACAGTTTTTTTTACTATTTAGGTTTTCACTTTATTTTTACTATTTAATTTTTATTGTTTTAAATCATTAATTGTAAAATTTTATTATTTAATTTTTTTTACTATTTTCGTTCTTACTATTTTCATACTATTTTACGTGTCCTTTTTTTATTTTTTATTATAATTTTTACGATTTTATTTTTTACTGTTTTATATTTATTTATTTTTTTTTTTGGCATTCTATTTTTTTAAAGGTTCACGACTGACATAATAGCATCAATTGCCTACGGATGTAAATGCAACAGTCTGGAAAATCCAAATGATGAATTTCGTTTTTATGGTAGAAAAATATTCGACGTGAATCCAGTGAAAATTTTACTTTGCTTCTTTGCTCCAATTATTCTTAGGATAACACGATTGAGTCCCGTGGCACCAGATGTTAATGTGTATTTTAATAAAATTTTCAACGATGTTGTTGCATATCGACGAAAAAATAATGTTGTCGAAAATGATTTTGTCGATTTACTCATCGAATTGATGAACTATGGTTACATTAAGGAACAACAGTCGAGTCAAGAAGAGGGTGTCGAAAAAGAATCCGAAGGTATTGTTGTTTTTTTTTAATTTTTGCAGAAAAATATTTCCAAATTTGAAAATATTTCTAAAGAAATTTAATTTTAAATTAAAAATCCTAGTTTCAAATTTAAAAATATTTTTAAAGAAAAGCAGATCCAAATTTGAATTAATACTTTTAAAGAAAAATATTTTAATATTTTTAATAAATACCGAATTAATAATTTTGTGATTTCAGAGAAAGTTATTGAAAATGTGAATATTGAATTTGCTGCTGCTCAGGCATTTGTATTTTTTGCCGCTGGATACGAAACGTCATCTTCGACGATAACGTATTGTCTATATCAACTAGCTCTTAATCCGGAAATTCAAGAGAAAGTACGTTTGGAAATTAAGAGTGTTATTTCTAATTATGATGAGTTAAATTACGACAATATTGCAGAAATGAGCTACTTACACAAAGTTCTTTTTGGTAAATATTTTTTATATAATTTATTGTTATTGTCTGACTTTAATTTATTTTTTCCACTTATTCTATTTTACTATTTCGTCTGACAGAAGCTTTCACTTACTACTGATTTACTAATTTATAAACAAATTTTTGATGTGTTTTATGTGACCGAAACTAATTTTCTTACTAGAAAATGTTTCCCTAATGTTTTGTTTGACAGAAATATTCTTTTACTACTAATAGTTAAACTACTACTCAAAATGTTATTTTTGTCTAGAAAAATGGTCAGAAGAACATTTATTTTTACTACCGTCAGTAAAACTACTACGAAAATTATTTTTTTGCTTAAAACTGCAAGTCTGACAGAAATTTATTTCTACTACTAGCAGTAAAATTCCTACTTAAAATTATTTCTTTGTCCAGAATTGCAGTCTGAGTAAAATTTTCTTTTACTACTAACAGTAAAATAACTACTGAAAGTATTTCTTTGTCTAGAATTGCATGTCTGACTAAAATGTATTTTTACTACTGACAATAAAATCCAGTAAAAATAAAAGCCAGTAAAATCGATCACTACTAAAATTTCTTTGTCCAGAATTGCAAGTCTGACTAAAACGTATTTTTTACTACTGACAATAAAATCCAGTAAAAATAAAAGCCAGTAAAATCACTACTAAAGGTTTTTCTTTGCCCAGAATTGCAAGTCTGACTAAAATTTGTTTTTACTACTGACTATATAGTTCCTATTTAAAATTATTTCATTGTCAAGAATTGCAGGTACGACTAAAAGTGGTTTTCACTACTAACACTAAAATTACTACATAAACTTTTTTTTTCAGCGGAATTGCAAGTCTGACTAAAATTTGTTTCTACTACTAACAGTAAAATTACTACTCAAAATTTTTTACCCAACTTATGTTTTTTTTCGTCTCATTTATTTAAATGAATTTTTAACATGCTGTTTTACTAAATAAAATTTTTTTCCCAATACAAAAATGAAGAAAATGAAAGGTATTTTTTCTAATAAAAATTGTTCTTTACCACTAGTACTCTAGTTAAAACAATAAAAAAAATATTCACTCCTCTGTAACAATTTTTAATGATTCCTTTGTCAAAGAAAAATTAATTATTTTTCTAAAATTATTATAATTGTAAACCAATCAAAATAAACAAAATAAACAAAAAGTCTGACTCTAACTCACCTTTACTACTGGAAACTAAAATTTTCCAAAATTCAACATAATTTAAATACAAATAATTAATTATTCTATAACTAATGAAATTAATTTAATTTATATTTTTATTTTAGAAACAATTAGAATGTATCCTCCAGTGCCACTTTTGTCGCGCGTTTGTCTCAAGGATTACAAAATACCAAACAGTGATTTTATCATTCCAAAGGGAACGAGAATTACTATTCCAGTTTTGGCAATTCATAATGACTCGGATATATATCCGAATCCAGAGAAATTTGATCCTGAACGATTTAATAATGAAAATATTGCCCAAAGGCATTCTCTAGCGTTCCTAGGATTTGGTGAAGGTCCTAGAATTTGCATTGGTATGAAATTATTTTTATTTAATGAACCAAATTTACATTTGCTATTATTAACATGTTTAAATAGTTATTAATTTTTTCTCACCTCATTATTTTTGAAATTTGACTAGTTGTTACATGAATATTTGAAAAATTATTTACAGAGATTAAACAAATTAATTAAGTTTAAATACATTAATTAATCATTTTTCAGTAAACTAATTAATTCTAATTAAAATAATTATTTTCAGTAAACTATTAAATTTTAAGTAAACAAATAATTACTTTTGAAAAACAATATTTTTTCCATCGATTTTTGATTTGATTATTATTATAATAATATGTTTTCATCAAAATTTAAATATAATTTTATTTTCAGGTAAACGATTTGCGTTAATTCAAACAAAAGTTATGCTGATTCAACTATTGTTGCATTATAAGATTTCAACTTGTGAGAAAACTGAAATTCCAATAAAACATAATTCACGAACGTTCACTTTGGCCCCAGAAAATGGTCTCTATTTGAAAATTGAAGAATTGTAAAAATACAATATTCTGAAAAAAATACTTAATAAGAATTTGCCAAAGGAGATTTATTTGAAGTTTCAACAAAAAAATGTATATATCGTAATTAATTGATATTTTCTTATATTTAAAATTTCGGACACATTTTTATTTTTTTCAATATATATTTTCTCTCTCAGAGAATAAAAAAATAATGATAACATTATTATGATTGCAAAAGATAAAATATGTTTAGTTTTAATCTAGTTTATAAAGCTTTTGTTTGAGGTCTTCGAATTCTGCGACTTTTCCAGTAAGAGATTAAATAAATAAAAATGTTAATATAATAATAAATTATTTATATTATATTATTAATTAATAATATTTTTATTAATAAATAGGTATTATTAATTATTATTGTTACTCTCTAAATAATAATACTATTTTTATATAACATAATAATAATTGATAATAGAAATGATGAATAATACAAAAAATAAAAATTAGTAAATAATAAGGAAATATAAAAATCTGCAAAAATAACAAATAAAAGAAAAACTTTAAAATTCATGATTATACTCTTTATTATCCGCTTAGAGCCTAACTGAAGCTACCACAGTGTTTGATCTGTACAGCACGAAAACGTTAAACAGGCGCCTTTATCATGTCTCCGTATATTATCCAGAGAAAAATTTTATTTAAACCAAATAAAATTTATTTAACATTATTTATTTATTTGAATAAATATTGAATCTATTTTATATATTTTTATATTGAATATATACAAAAGTATATTTATCTCAGAGCCTACTAAATATATTTATTTGTTTTAAATAAAAAGTTTATTCGATACACAGAAAATTTTTATTTGCAGCAAATAAAATTTATCTGCACCAAATAAAATTTATTTGAAACAAATAAAACGTTTGGTGGGCTCTGAGTCAAATCATCATTTTTCTAAATGACAATTTTTTTTTTTTTTTTTTGAAGGATTTGAATGTAATAAAAAATATAATTAATATAATTAGCGTAGAGATTGTGTGACATTCAAAATATAGACATATTAATAATTTTTTAATTTTTTTTGATAAGAAGAATATATTATCAGACTTTTATTCTTTATAGTTTAGAATTTATGATATCACTTCTTACAAAATTACTCAAACGACTCAAACTATGTTATCTGAGCTCGTAAAGAAGTTTTGATTTTCAAGAGTAGTGAGCAATAAAAGTTTAATGTTGATACTACTATAAATTTAATTTTAGTTGAACATTTCTAATTCAAAAAGCACGTTTAACTTCTATTTGGAAATAATTGCCAATTTTTTGTCTTCAAAAGACATTGAAATATTTAATATTTTCTTATAGAAAAACAATTTCGATATTTTGTATTTTAAAATATTAAAATATTTTCTATTTGAAATAATATACTTTTTATATTTAAAATACTATTTCTATTTAGTTTTTTTTCTATTTTTCTCTCTAAGTATTTTTAATCTAATAACATTCAGATACCTATTTTATATTTAAAATGTATTTTTACATATTTTAGGTACATTTTTCCATATTGAAATTGAGATAATTAAAATTAAAAATTTTATGAAAAATTTCATTAAAAATTAATTTACATCAAATTTCTAAACTCCATACAAAATAAGTTTTATAAAATAATTCTTATTACCTATATATAAAATTGAAAATTAAATTTAAAAATTCCCGTTAAACTTTGATTACATAAAATTAAAAAAAAAATAATTCAAATTGATTAGAAATCACTTTTAACCCGTTCCCTGTTTCCGACCCACGGGTGGGTCGTGAAAAAGTATGGCCATAACTGTTTCCGACCCACCCGTGGGTCGTGTTCACTATCACTCAAAATAAATATAATTTGTATATAAATTGATAGATATTTTTCTTTATATCAATATTATAAGAAATTATAAGGGTCATTAATGATATTTTAGAAAATAATTAAATAATTAGTTATAATTTAAATATATTATACTATTTGAAAAATTATCAGATTCCGCTGGGCATTTTGGGACAATCATGTTGTATTTTCCTCAAACAGTTAAAGGGTTAACAGAGACTGTCAAGTAACAGTTGTTTCTTGATTGATTCAGAGTTGTGACAATTCTGATTTAATCGTCCGGTCACCGTTTTTAAACAATGTTAATATGCGACCAGTTGTTTACTTTCTTATATAAGACAATAGTGGTCGAACTAGTTCATTACAATTCCGTATTTTTTCTTCCTTTTCCTTCATAGAATTTTTCTAAATATATGTTAACCACAACCTACGGTTTTTCGCAATTTTCCATTTAGAATTCTATTTATCAAATAAAAGTAGTAAATAATTATGGTTTTGTTAATTAATAATTATACATATTAAGTTTTGAAAACTAAAATTTTCATAAATTATTGTTTAATAATTATTATTGTTTTTTAATTAATGCAATTAGTTTGATTGTCCAGAGTCACTAATTGACTATGGAACCAATATTTTAAGTCAAAAATTTAATTATTGTATCAGGAATATTGGCAAAAATAATAATTGACCAACATTCTGCCAAATCTAAAACGAATATTGCGAAGAAAATTGACGACTAGAATCAGTCCAACTTTGAACCAATATTATAACTAAATAATTGTCTAATAATTGGTTCAATATTCTGACAGAACTTTGGTCAATATTCACGATTGAATTCCGAACAATATATTGACCAAATAATATGCTAATAACTTGATCCAAAATTTTCTGACAAATTCTCTGTCAAAATTACCGTTAAAATTTTGCGACAATATTTTCAGAATAGTGCGACAAAAAAGATTTCGTCCGCAATTTTCATCCTCAAATTGTCGCAGCTTTATTGAGAAAATTGTGAAATAACATCAAACACAAGCGATAAAAATAATCCAGATAGTTTATAATTAGAACATCTGTTTTCTTTGATATACATCTAGAAAATGGAAATAAAATGAAACGACTTAATTTTCAATCAAGACCTCAATGTCCAGCACTAATAGACTACAATTATTGAAAGGCAACTCTCTCTGTTATTTTCGAAAACAAGCATATGGATAATTGCTTCCATACAGTGTAACCGGATCGCGAAATTGTACAATAAAGGAGTGTGTGAGAGAGAAAGAGAGACTAAGGTGCATATTGTTGCAATGATTGCGTAAGCAAAATCGTTTAGCGTTTATAAAGAACTCGTGTGAGCATTGAAGCAGCTCCGGCTTTCAATGACATCACAAAACAGTCTCGTACTGATATGTCACACGGGCCCAATGTGTGTGTTAATGAAAATTATTTCCTTCTATTTTTTCAAAGAATTAGCAAAATATTCGATTTCTATCTATATCTAATCAAAGTTTTTCATTTTTTTTTGTCTAAAAATAAATTTTAGTAATTGCGACCATTTTTTATGGTCTGGATATAAGGTAAGTTATTAAAACCTTATTTCAACTACAAAAAATTTATAAAAATATTGAAAATTTTTTTAGTTAAAATAATATTTAAATTTTAAAGTTGAAAAATTTTTGTATTTTGTAATTTAAACAATCTTTTCTTTATTAATTATCATGAGAAATAATTAAAAACAAAAAAAAGTTGAGATATTCCGCAGGGAATCGAACCCTTACCATCTGTATACAAACTCACTATCTTTACCTCGAAGCTATAATGTTAAAGAAAATTGTAATTGATTTTTAACATTTGTTAACAATTTATGTAACTAAATTATATAATTATGTTTTCTTATATATGTAATTAAAATTAGTAATTACTTAATTTAAATTATAGTTAACTGAAAAAATAAATAATTAATTGTTTAACTTGTAATATAGCTCATTCATCATTCGTTAAATAATAATATAACTAACGGGTCGTTCAAAAAATACGTGACGCTCTTTTTAAACAAACCCTAATTATGTGGTTAATTAAACAGTTGTTTCAATTATTATATAATAATAATTAAATTAATTATTAAATTAATTATATAATATAATTAAATATTTTGTTAATGAATTATATGAATAATTATATAAGTAATTAAATAGTTAGTTCATGAATTATATTAATAATTAAATAACTAGTTATGAAGGTTATTAATTAATAATATAACTAATTATGTAAATAATTATTTTCTAGAAATTTTAACTGAAACTCTTCCCTAATTCAATTATTATTAACACTTTTAGAGAAAATTCCTTAATTTTTAATTAAAAATTTTTTAAATTCAACTTTTCTAAAACTTTAATTTGAAACATTTTGAAATTCAATCTATATTAATAATATTAGTAATATTAATTTAACATTCTAAAATATAAAAATAGTTACATTATAAATGATTGTAGAAAAACTAATTAATAATATTAATGCAAAATACAGTTTCCTAAAAATTTATTTTCTAAAGAAAATCGTTCTCTTTAGAATTAAAAAATTAATTTTTAGAAATTTCGTTATCACTTTTGTTTTAATTAGTTCAAATATTTACTAATTCAAAAGAGAATAAGTTTTGTGATAGTATTATTGCAAAAAAGTTTATAAATTAATTTATTTTTTACTATTTTATGTGTGTAATTTTTGGTATCCGGACAAGAAGTCCAAAACAAAAAGTCCAAATAAAAAAATCCAAATTAAATGAAATCCAAAAAAGTAAAAAAAAAATTGTTTCACTTTGGACATATTTTTAGGCTAAAGAATAATTAAAAATCCAATGACAAAAAATGAGATATAAAAATTTAAATGGTTGCCTTGAATAAAATTGTCCTTTTTTGCGTTGCTCATTATTTCGATGACTATGTGAATCGAAAGTAGGTAAACTTTTAACATTTTAAATTTCTAAAAATAATTAAATTAATCGAGTAATTTAATTAGAGTTATATGGAAAAAAATAATTGAATTTTTGTAAAGAATTTTATCTAAATTGTTGAAAATAATTGTATTTCTTGGAATAATTGTTTTAAAAATTTTGTAGAATAATTAAAATTTTTTTATTTATGAAAATAATTGAATTTTTGAGAAGAATTTTTTTAATTTAGGAAAATAATTGAATTTTTGTGTAGAATTTTATTGTTTATGTAAATAATTAAAATCCTGAAATTTTAACATTAACATTTTAAATTTCGATTTTATAGCGTAAAATGTAAAAACGTGTCTTTTTCACATATTGTTTCATTATTTATTTAGGATGTTTTTTATTTATTTTGGATTTTTTTACTTTGGACATTTTTATTTTGGATTTTTTGTACTTTTTTGTCCTCTGATCGAAATTTTTTTCTATTTTAAAATATAACATTTCTAATAACATTTTATACTATTTTTTATAATTTTTGTAATTTTTTATAATTTTTAATCTGAAATAATTTAATTTTTGGTTAGAATTTTATTAAAATTTTTGAAAATAATTTTATTTTGTGCTTAGAATTTTATTAAAATTTTTGAAAATAATTTTATTTTGTGCTTAGAATTTTATTGAAATTTTTGAAAATAATTTAATTGTTTTGGAGAATTTTGTGAAAATAATTTAAATTCTTATATTAGAATGGAATTCTTTCCAGAAATTTTATTAAAATTATTTTGAGAATAATTGAATTCCTGTGAAGAATTTTATTAAGTGCGTGTGGAAATAATTTAATTTTTGCAAATTTTTTCAACAAATTTAATTAAAATTGTTTTAGAAATAATTGAATCTCGTGAGAAGAATTTTATTAAATTTTATAAAAATATTTCCATTGTTTTAAAGAATTTTATTAAGGGCATTTAAACCATTATGACGTCCCGCAGCCTTAGAATACATGCTTTGCATAAAATGTGATGTCATAATGGTTTAAATGCCCTTAAAGTTAAATTTTTTTTATTTTAAATTTTGTATCTAAAATTCTATTAAAAAATAGAAGATGATTTTTGAAAATAAAGAGTTTTGTAATTTATTAAATAGCAAGTTTTGCTACTTATTACTTATATATTATTATCTATGAAAATTAAAAGCGCAACTTTTACAAAATTCAATTATTTTTTTAATTTTAACATTATTCTCAAAATTTTAATTTTTTTTTAATTAATTACAATAATTATTATAATATTTATATTTTTTCTCACAAAATATTCAGTGTTTTTTTTTAAAAAAGCACTTTTTAATAAAAAAAATGCAAAATTCCCGGTCAAGAAAAAAATTCCCTGTCATTTCCTGGTTTCCCAGTCACGTTGTTTGTTAATTACATAACTAATTTAGTTAGTCAACTAATAATATAACTAATCACATAATTAGTTAACTTATTACATAATTCTTATATGTAAATAATAAAATATAAATAATATTAATATTAAATATTTATTACCTAAATATTATTAATAATAAAATATTTTTTATCGTTATTATTTATTTAATTTATTAATTTATTTACTAATTATATTAATTTCTTTTAAAAAAAACATTAATGACGTAAATCATTAATTTCTTTTTTCAAAAAAAAAAAAAAAATCCATTATTGACCCAACTGGAATTTTTTAAATCATTAAAGAAAGAAAAAATTCGGTTGCACAAACATTAAGCGGAAATGTTTTGTATTGTCAAAGAAGAAAAAAAAATTCTTTTCCGCACAAATGTTGAACACTTGCCATATTGTAACATCTATTGTTAATTTTTTCTCCCCTCGATCCCTTCTCGTGATCTCTTGACGATCAACAGTCTTGAAAAGTCGCCCCATTTTTCAGCAGATTTTCTTAGATATTATATATATCTGTGAAAGTATAGGGAAGAAAAAAAAACCCACGTGTGCGGCACAACTTTGTGTGTCCTCCTATAGGTTAAAAGGCATTCCTTCCACTCCTGGAAGTATTATATCCACTGGTGGTCGCTGTCTGTCCTTTCGTATCTTAACGAGGCAGTTCGTTCGGTGTCGCATTATGCTACGGTCACAGTTCTGTGGAACACGAGTGTGTCCCCGAGCCACGCCGTCAAGTCATCTGCTCCGTTAAGAGCAGAAACCACTTTTTCGCTTCACTTTGTATTTTTATTGTATATAGAATGCTTTAAACTCGAATGTGTCTCTCCAAATAACAAAAAAAAAAAAAAACAAAAAAAATGGGAAAAGCCTCCAGTAAACTCAAGTCAAAACGAAGTCAAAGTTAGTAAATTATTTTTCGAATCTAAGAAAGAATTTGAAATTAAAAAAAATTTGAAAATAAATTTAAAAAAATAAAAGTACAAAAAAAATTGAAAAGAAAAAACGAACTTTGGAAAAAAAAATTGAAAAAAGATTTATAAAAAATTGATTTCCAGTAATGTGTGCAATAAGTGATTCTTGTTAATTTGCAATTACTGCGAATTTACATTCACGCATATATTTCCCGCGCCAGATGTCAAAATTAATCTTGCACACTTTTTTCTAATTATACATTTAATTTTACTACTATCTTTACAAATCAATGTGTTTTAAAAATGTGATTGAAAAGTGATTTTTAAAGTTTTTAAGTGACATTTTTTTTAAATTTTCAAAAAAGAAAATAGTTCATGCAAATTTTTGTGATAAAAGTGAAGGTAAAAGTAGATTACAAAAAAAGTGCGTCGTATAATTAAATAACTTCACACTTAAAAACTTTTTTCTGCAATTCCATTATTTAAATATTATTTTGTTTTACCTAAATTTTATTTTTAAAAATTCTGTTAATAACGTCAGTTTTTAAATTCCTTTTATTTTGCGAACTAGATTTTTTTTATTTCTTTTACAAACTTTGTTCTTTAAAATCTCTTTTCTAATTATTTGGCAATTACAAGAGATAAAAAAATGAACTATTTCTCGAAAGTGAACAATTATAAGTTTATAATTATAAAATTACTAAATAATAATAGTGATAAATAATAACATTATAAGTAATAAAAAAATTAAATCAATAAATAAATTTGTCTGTAAAGAAATAAAAAAGTAATAAAATAACTAAATAGTTAAAAATCTAAATAATTATATTTGTACTTAAATATAACGTATTATATTTTATAACAATAAAATAATGAATAATAATAATTTGAATTTTCCCAGAATTTTCCTGGGTTTCGAGTCCCATCAGAGTTAGTCCCACATTTTTTCATAGTAATAATAATAAAAAATAATTGTATAATGTAAATAAATTTAAAACAATAGTATATATGACTATTCTTTATTGAAACAATTACAAAAAAAAATTATTACAATAATAATAATCAATATATAATATATATAAATCTTGTGAAAATATATAATAACATATAGTTATTTATTTATTACTCTACTTATTTCTTTATTAGAATATTGCCTACACATTTTCGAGTTGCAACAACAATGTAATAAACTATTTTCAAGGATTTTTAAGCGCATTAAAACAAAAGTTTTGTTTATCACTATCTGCTTTGAGATAATAAACATTCTTTTTCGTTTTAGAATTTTTTTTAAAACAAAACAAAAAAATGTTTCGCGATCTTGTTTGTTTGGAGGCCTTCGTGTAACGTTGGTTTTATACATAATTGTATTGTTATTCTACTCACGATTTTAGTACCCGTGAAATGCGTCATGAAAGAAAATTAAAGAAATTTTTCAATTCCTTTCTTTATAAATGTTTAAATAAATTGTGCACTGAAGAAAATACATGTCTTTTCGAGTGTAAAATTCTCTACTTTTGCATATATGTATATACAAATTTTTATAGTTTATATACCTATGATTCCGAATAAGAAACGATAGTTCTTTTAAAGGCAATAGTATTTCGAATTGTAAATTTATTTAAATTGTTATATACGGAATTAAGTAAAATAAACCGGTTATTTTATCTGGGTGCATTTGTGACAATTCCCATTGTCATTTCTATAGATATTATCTTATATTATTTTATAATTTATATTATTGTTTCTTTCACTGAGAACTTACTGTTCTTTTTATTATTATTTGGTATTTTATTTATACCTAATTTTTAATATTTATTAATATTTATTTATTATTATTATTGTTTTTGTTATTTTTGTTATTTTTGTTATTATTGTTAATATTACTCTTCCGTTTTATTATAATTATAATAATTATTTGTATTGACATATATTTTACTATTATTTTTTATTGAGAATAAAATGAACTGAAAATAAAATTCCTGGCGGAGGAATCGAACCTCTGACCCTAAGTTTACATGCGCCTTAACGACTACGACTATTTCGCAATATAATATAAAAGTTTTATTATTAACTATTAGTATTATTATTTAGGTCGTATTTAAACCTTTTTATTTCAATATTATTATAATTGTCACTATTATTATAAGGACCGCATTTAAACCTTTTTATTATAAAATGATTATTATTATAATTATTATTATTATTGCTATTATTACTATTATTATTATTTTATTATTACTACTATTATTTTTATTATTTTATTTTTAATATTATTTTTATTATTAATATCTTAAAATGAAACTTCAATCCGCCTGTTTATATTTTTAATAAATTCATTCGAACACATGTAGAAAAATATCAGTTCTGTTAATTTGCAAATTTTATCAATATCGTGGGGAGATTTTGGTATTTGATACATTACTGTACATACAAAGTTATCTCAGCACAATGTCGACCTTATCAGCACCGACAGATATTATGTTAACTGTATTTCGAAGAAATAGCATACTTACCTGAATTATTTTCTTATGATACTTATTGGCGTATTTATTTTTGACGTACAAAAAGAAAACATGTACTGTCTCCTCGAAAAATCACTAAATTTATTTTAACGTTTTCTTTTTGTTCTTCTTCGCTTATTTTTCTTTGTCTTCTTTTTTCCTTTATTAGAAGTGATAATAATTATTAATAAAAATGAATTGAGCAGCAAAGAAAAAGTATAGAAAATAAAGAAAAGACTCGATCAATTGTTATAAAAAAAACGAAAATATTTATTATTTATGTTTAGAAAATAATAACAATAGAGAAATAGATAAAGGAGTAAATTTATTCCAGAGAAAAAAAAACTATATTGGAAATATTTGAAAATAAATTTTCTTGAGTATTTTGTAGCTTATCAATCAATTGTTGAAACACGTGGATAGAGAAAATTTGCTTTATTCTGATAAAGTTGTAAATTGAATTTTTTTTAAAAATTTTTCCTAAAATTATAAAATCAAAAGAAAATTTAATATTTTTTTTTAAATTTGAGCATATGGAAAATGGAACTAATTATAAAAAATTAATTGTATGATAAACACTTTTTTTCAATAACTGTATAGCAGATGGTCGATATCGGTTCGAGATAACGAATTCATGTCGATAAAAAGGGCTTTGTAACTCACGCATTTCTTGAATTTTAAATTGTAAAAAACCCAGGAAAAATGTCGTAAAAGGAAAATTTAAAAATAGCACGTTTAAAATTTTACATTCATATATTTATTATTACTTCTTTAATATTTATTATTTATTTATTGTTTATTTATTTTACATGTGGGTTTACAAAGGGAAAAGAGAAAAAAGGGTGTTTTATTTTTTTAAAAAGTTTAATTATAAAATTTAGTTTAACAAATAAAAGTTATGACAAAAAGTAATAGAAAATTTCAATAAAATATAATAATTACAATTGTCAAGAAAAATTAATTATTTATTGAATTAACCATTTGCGGTGTTTTGGAATAAAAAAATTTAAACTCGCGTTATTTAATAAAAATAGTAAAATTTGTAAAATGTAAAAATAACTAAAACTAAGCAAATATAGTAATTTGTAATAAAAATAAAAAAATATAAAAATAAATAAATAATATTTATAAATAATTTTTATATTTGGAGACTCTCCCTGTATATAACCTTTTATGGGTTAAGTGAGTGATACAATAAATAAATATTATTTATAAATAAAAGAATAATTTTTATAATTGAATAAACAACGTTTATAAATAAATAAACACAAAAATAAAATTTATAATTTAAAAAGATGTTTATGAATAAATACAGTTCACAAAGAAATAAATAAAAAATAACTTTTATAATTAAAAAATGTTTATAAATGAATAAACGTTTATAAATATAAATAAAGTATATATTTCTACTAAAAATGAAAAAAAAAAAATTGATGATTCATAAAAAGGGAAAATTTCCGCATATATAGAGAAAAAAAAATGAAGGACAAATTTGTGAACAAATATTTTTAATACGGAAATGATTTTTTCATGAATCATTACAGGTATTGCATGGAGTTTCCGGTTTCCTTCAATGGGCGCTCTTCAGAATTTGGGGACTAGTAATCGAAAGCGGAAACGAGATGATCTCTCCGTTACCCTCAATTGTAAAGATATACGCCAAAATAGGCACACAGTTCATTTACAATCGGACGTTGTTAAATCTGAACTAATTATCACACCTCCCTACAATGAAAATGGATTTAAATTCAATGAACGGTGAGTTGATTGATAAATTACTAAAGAAATAAAATAATTACTATTTTAAAAATAATATTATCCATTAAATTTGTATTCGATGAAAATGAAATAATACAAAAAAAAGTAAACAAAATTTTCGAAAGTAATATTAACTAATTAATTAATTAATTAATTAAATTATAATAAAAAATTACAAATATTTTTTTTATTTATTATTTACAAAATTAACAAAAATTACAAAAGCAAATCCTAAATTAAAAAAAAAAATGCACGCAGAAAATTTCAGTTTGTAATAAACTATTGGGAATAAATTTTTGAAAATAATTATTATCAATATTTATTTACTTTCTATTTATTTATTTACAAATATAGATGAGCGTTTAAACAATAGAAAAACGCCCTTTCGTACTAAATGTAATTTTCAAATTAAATTAGCTTCATTTAAAAATAAAAGTTGAGCTGAGGTAAATTAAATTTACGGTTTAAATTAAAAACTTTCATTCGCTATCATCAACGCACACTTTCGGTACCCATAGTTAAAACTAAATTGAAAAATTCTACATACATTGCGTGTAATTAAAATTGAACGTTCAATTAGGAAAGTTGCGGTAAAATAAAAGTCATTTACGAATGAAAGTAAGTGAGTATTTTTAGAGAGAAATGTCTGTTAATTAGAAATCCTGCTTTACAATTTCCAAATGAGATTATTGACCTGCTCCTGTAATAAAATAAATTCATTCGCAAATTTGTAGAAAATAAAAGAAGCGTCTCTCTAAATCTGAATTAATTGAAAATAACTGATTGTCAATAAAATATAGATTCACTTTTTTCATTAACAGTTAGTAAATTATATCTAATTATTAGTAGAAAGTAACTTACTATAAATAGAAGATAACTATAAGTACAGAAAGTAACTAATTATCAGTTGAAAGTCACTTCTTATTAGTAGAAAATAACTAATTATTATTAGGAGAAAATAACTAATTATTAGTAGAATATAACTAAATATTAGTAGGAAATAACCTTTTGACAGTAGATAATGAATAATTATTTAGTAGAAAGAAACTAATTGTCAGTAAAAAATAACTAATTTTTAGTAGGAAATAACTAAATATTAGTAAATAAACTATAAATAAATTAGTTATTTTTTACTCATCAAAATTTCAGTAGAATATAACTACTTATTAGTAGAATATAACTAAATATTAGTAAATAAACTAAATAAATTAGTAATTTTTAACTCATTAAAATTTTAGTAGAAAATAACTAGTTACTATAGTAACAAGTAAGTAAATCAGTAGAGAATGACTAATAATTAGTAGAAAATAATTAATTATTAGTACAAAATAACTAATTATTAGTACGAAATAACCTTTTATCGGTAAAGAATAAATAATTATTTAGTAAAAAAAAATGATCATTAGTAGAGAATAACTAATTCTTAGTAAAAAAAATAATTAAGTATTAGTAAATAAACTGAATAAATTAGTTATTTTTGACTCATTCAAATTTAGAAAATTCATCAAATAATTTTTTTCCAAGTTCTTGCGGATTTATAAATAAAAAGAAAATTAGTAGTAAAAAACAGCTAAAAGAAAAAAAATAATAGTAATAAATAATATTGTTATAAATAAATTGTACTAAATGAAAGTCAAAAAAGAGAAGAAAAATAGTCAAAAAAATCTAAAAAAATCTAAAAATCTGAGAATATGTGATAAAATGAAACAAAAAAAAAGAGAAAGTGCCAAAAAAGGAGTGTGAAAAAAAGTGTAGGATTTACAATAATTTTAAAATAAAAATTTCGTATCATTATTTCCATTTATAGAAAAATTCAGAAACCAGATAGTGAAATGTAAATACATAGGTGTAAAGGTTGTGACGTCACTTTATAACTCACGTCCTTAAAACTATACAGAGCGAGAGTATAATGAAAATGCGCGCTCACTATATATATAGTACGAACCGGTTTCTCTTGATCTTTACCATCAAAAAAGTTGACTTCACTCGTTCATACATATGAACAAGAGTCTATGATTTCGAGATTCTCCACAAGAATAAAAGGGGTTCATTGAGAGTAGCAAAAAAAAAAAAAAAAAAAAAAAAAAAGAAAGGGTAGGCAATGTACTTTAAAAGCAGTTACTGTTCAAACACACTTTTCTATTAATTATGTCACTTTGGAAAAAACTTGAGGAAAATAAAACAACGGGATAACAATTTTTTCATAGATCAAAAGAATGAATTTTCCCTTTGTACGTTTCTTTCAAGTGAAGAAATTTTTTTTTCATATAATTGCTGTTTTTTCTTTGGGGTGAAAAAAATTACGTCAACTTTACGTCATTTATTTTTTTAATATCATATTATATATAAATATACTAGGGGGGCTTCGCCCCCCTGCGCGCTTCGCGCGCCAACCCCCTATTTTTAATATTTATTTTCATTTTTAAAATCATGTTATCTTAATATGATGGCATAGTAATGAGTTAGAGTAAATTATAACAGGAGATATTAAAAAAGATAACTAATAGAGAATTCTACTTTACGGAAGTGATTATAGTGTCAACTTTTTCAAGTTTGACACTCCTCATAGTAAATTTGATAATTCTTTTTTCTCAGTGTCAAATGTATTATTGGGCCCCTTTTTACCTGCAGTTGACATAAATGTTGACGTAATGTAAGGGCCATTAGGGGCTGTCCATAAATTACGTAAGTCATTTTTTGGGTAAATTTGACCCCCTTCCTCCCTCGTAAGATATTTTACATACATTAGCGCCATTTTTCCTATTGTTCGCAAGATCTTGCTGACCCCCGTCCCCCTAAATGTCTTACGTAATTTATGGACGGACTAAAGATTTCGACGTAAAATAATAGACGTTTGAGGGCTTCATTTTTACCAGTAGGTCAAAACTGACCTTAAAATTGACCTAAATTTTGAGGAAACAGTAGGTCAGAAGGAATTTTGTTGTCAATTTTTGACGTGTAGGTCAAAACTGACCTTAAAATTGACCTAAATTTTAAGAAAATATCAGATCAGAGGGAGATTTCTGGTCAAATTTTAACTTGTACACTGAAAGAATTTTAGGCAGGCTGCTGGCTTTTCATGTCCGAAATTAGTGCCCCTTGCGCAGGGCTCGCAGCTCACCTCAAAAAAGCGAGAATCTACTCCAGAAAGGTGAGCAGCTGCCCCTGAGGAGTTGCTGCTTACCTTTCGGGAGTAGATTCTCGCCTTTTTGAGGTTAACTGCGAGCTTGAGGCAGCGAGCTCTAGCGGCACTCATGTTTACATGAGGCTTTACATGCAGGCTTTAGCCTGCAGCCTGCCCAAAATTCTTTTAGTGTAGGAAAAAACTGCCATTAAAATTAAAGTACATTTTGAGGACAGAAAAATAATTTTAATAGAATTTAAAAAAAAAAATGTCAATTTATAACATCTTTTATTAATTGAAACTTAATATTGAAATTTAGGTCAAACTTCTTTTAACCAATAGGTCGAAAATTCCGTCAAACTTTAATATAAGGGTACGACTTTTTAAAAAATCTTAATTAATTTGCTTTTTTCATGTATAGGCTAAAAAATATGTCAAATTTGACCTAAATTTTAAGGAAAGGTCAGGTCAGATGAAGTTTTTTCGACAATTTTTGCGGTGTAGATGAAAACTGACCTTGAAATTGACCTAATTTTTGAGGGCAGGGGGAATTGTTCGTCAATTTTTTCCGTTAAGATCAAAACTGCCCTTAAAATTGACCTACATTTTGAAGGTAAAGGGAATTGTTTGTCAATTTTTTACCTGTAGGTTAAAACTGCCCTTCAAATTAACCTAAATTTTGAGAGCAGAGGGAATTTTTTGTTAATTTTTGACCTGTAGATTAAAACTGCCCTTAAAATTGACCTACATTTTGAGGTCAGAGGGAATTATTTGTGAATTTTTGACGTTTAGGTCAAAACTGCCCTTAAAATTGACCTACATTTTGAGGCCAGAGGGAATTGTTTGTCAATTTTTTACCTGTAGGTTAAATCTGCCCTTAAAATTGACATAAATTTTACGGGCAGAGTAAAACGCAATTTTTAACGCTTAGGTCAAAACTGCTCTTAAAATGAAACTAAATTTTGAAAGCAGAGCGATAAGTTTGTCAATTTTTAACTTTAAGTCATAACTACTCTTAAAATTGACTTAAATTTTGAGGGCAGAGGGGTTAGTTTGTTAGTTTTTTACCTGTAGGTTGAATCTGCCCTTAAAATTGACCTAAATTTTGAGTGATTTTGACCTGTAGGTTAAAACTGCCCTTAAATTGACCTGAATTTAGGTCAAATATAACTTGTTTCTGACGATGGACCTACCTTGACAGTGGGCCAACCTTGACTATGTTCCCCCTTTCTATAAGGGTCCCTTAAAACTTTCTGAAACAGCGGCGGCGGCGATATGATTTTATATTAATAGGGATAGATTTATTAAAATTTGTTATTATTTAAATAATCATTGAAATTGAGATTCAATTAATTCATAATTGTTATTAATTACATTATTATTAACTAGCAACAATTCGCGCGCTGCTAACTTTCTACTTCATTTTTTAAATATAAAATAAAATTCTCAATTTTAAAAATAATAGAATTTAAAAATTTTAAATTAAAATTTTTGTTGAAAACACAAAAATAATTCAATTTTGGAGAAAATGCAAATAATTTATTGCAGAAATTCAATTCTTTTCAAAAGTAATAAAATTCTTTTTATAAAATTCAATTATGTTTAAAATTAAAAAAAAATTCTCGTCAAAATTACAATTATCTTTGTAAATAACAAAATTTTTCCCCAAAGTTCAATTATTTTCAAAAATTTTTAATTATTATAAATTATTATAAAACATAAAGGAATCGATCACTCCGAGTCTTCGACTCGGAGCAATCAATATCTTCATGTTTTATAGCAAAATACTTTTGTAAGTTGTTTAATTTCAAAAAGGTTTGAATTTGAAATTTTTTAATGTCTTAATTCCTGTGGAAAAATAATATTTAAATATTTA